ATATTATATAAAATTCGTTCCTATTTCAAAAGTATACTAACGTGATTCTTGTAGCTGCTCAGCTCGTGGAGTGTTTTCTTTGCAATTTGAACATCGTGCTTYAGCTCCACATGAAAGGCGGTTAACAGATCAGGCAAACCAGACGCCATAAGGGAAATATTCTAAGAAAAATACATGCCATGAATACAGCGATACTCAATGTTTATCAACAAACTCATTCTTATGTTAAATGTGCCAACCATGATCAGAATGACTTTTTTACAAGTCGCATTGTTAAAAAAAGAACTAACATCCAATCGTCTTCTGGTTGGCACATGAATAATAAAGGTTTGCGTCACATTGAGTATCGCTATAGGTTTTGTAAGTATTGACCGCATTTTCAACCATTGCAATCAGATTCAAAAGATAAAAGACCGGCGGCCATGTTGGGGGAATAAACAATAGATACTAATGAGAAATCCTTTGTTTAATTTCTTCCAAGATGGCCGCTGTGACGTAACTTGAAAACAAAGAATTGTAATAAACACTTACATCAGCAAGTCGTCTTGATCTCTTCTGTGCAGATTCTTAACAGAACAAAAAAGAAATTTGTTTTAAAGAAAATTCCTCCTTCCCCCCCCCCCCCCCCAACGCTAACTGGATGTGACGTCATAATGCAAGGACTACTATACATTGAAGTGGTTTACCTCTGACGAGATTACGAAATTCCATCATCATCCTCGATTCTGTAACAATAGCTCCCGCAGGGCCCGGTGGTCCGGGCGGCCCTGGTGGTCCCGGTGGACAGGGTTGTGCACGTGATGATTTCTATCGAGAAAAAAAAATCAAAAAGGATTACCAATCAGATTCGCCTTATTATCCTTGATTAGCTGGAATTTTTTTAATTACGACAGATAAATGATCAAGCATCATATTGCTTATGGAATTCCCACAATCCCTACCGGTCACTAGAGTGTTACCACAATTCCTATTGATCATTAGTGTGTTCCCACAATTCTTACCGGTCACTAGAGTATCCCACAATTCCGATCGATCATTATTGCGTTCCCACAATTCTTATCGGTCACTAGTGCGTTCCCATAATTCCTATCGGTCACAAGTGTAATCCCACAATTCCTATCGATAACGAGTGTGTACCCACAATTCCTATCGGTTCCAGATTGACTTTCTGACATTAGCATTATGAAACTTACTGTAAAAGTCTGTTTATTTTGCTTTGCTTTGTTTTTGTTTCCTCTCTTTACTTTTGAGTTACGTGGGTTGCCTGAATGACCAAGAAAGTTGTTCCAACTACCGTACGGGTCCAGTCTCTCTCCTGACTGAATCTGTTTGGATTGGCTCTGAATAAATTAATATTGTAATTTGGTCAATGCTTCTTTCCAATAATGACGTCATRCTTTTTYGGTCGAAGTGCATTATGGTATTGATGAAAATATCAATATGGCGGATGTCTGATAAAAAGTACAAAGTTTTTTTGAAAATCAATAATTCTTCGTCGTGTATTCTTTAGAGAGGTATTCAGAAGACCACACACGCACTAGAGTCTATTCACAAAGAACTTGAGCAAGAAAGAAGTGTTAATTCTTCTATGAATGTTGACTGAACAGCCTGAATAAGCATTTTTCCCGTTCAAAGCGATCGACCTCTGTTTTTGTGGACAACAGACTCACTTTCGCAGAGACCTTACAAACAAAAACAAAATAAAGCAGTCACAAACAAATGTTTACATTACAATAGCTCTAGAAATTTGAATCTTCTCTGATTTGAGGCTAAGCCTGTGTTCCCACAAGAACTAGAGTTCAAGCCTTCTGGGAATACAGGCTTAGTCTCAAAAGGAGAGTCTGTTGTCAACTAAGACAGCGGTCGCTCGCTGCGAACGAGTAAAAGCCGTATTACACCGACATGRCTTCAATCTTTACTTTCGTAAAACCCATGGTGAATGTACCGAGTCAAACGCACCATGACGTCATAAGGGGAGGGGYCTTATAGTCTCCTTCACGGGACTGCGCCATCCCGTACGACGGATGTCATTTTTTATGATTAAAGCTTCGTTTCAAGCTCGACGCCATTCAGTCTCGATCCCCTTGAATGACCTCAATAGAACTGTCTGATTGTTTTTCGTAAACTTCCTGATGATGGTTTTTACAATGCACAAATCCCTCTATATCTAGAATGCTATTACACTGAGGTATTACTTTCAAGGTATTTCCTGCAGAATTGTTTATTAAATACAAATTCARTGATAGTCACGTCTTRGCGCATGGAAAAATGTCAGAAGGTTTTAATTTGCTTTTCATGGGCTTCAGTTTCGCCTCTACTAGAATGTTACTATCAAGCACTCTACAGAAATGTTAYTAATGACCAAGTGTTCCATTTCAGCGTGGGAATTCGAATGTTACGATCAAGTGTTCTTAYAGAATTTGTCTTTGTACTGTAGGGCCGAGTTCAATGTCAAATGCAAAAAAAGATGACTAAAAAAAATTCAAATCGTTTAGATAATAATAATATATTCCCGATTGCAAGTGCTTTTGATAACTACCTGATCAATTAAAAGAAGCCTGGTTATTTCGGTACTGTATATTCGCCTTAATGTTCAGTTTTTGTCGGATACCCCGCCACAGRCTTCAMGTTTCCTTGGATCAGGTGCCCTCCGACCCATCCCCCCTCGGGGAAAAACAGAACGTGAAACAGTGGACCTGTTTAAATTGTATCATCAATTGATGTGGGCTGTCAATTGATTAATCTGAATGATAAATGTGACCTGCAGACCCCGACAAATACCATTAGTTGGATGATCACTTGGATTCCTTAAGAGGAAATTCATATGTAAGAGGAAATGCGTGTTTATTCGTGCTCAATTTGAGGTGAGTCRGTTTCCTTCYAACGTTCTGTGCTTCGTACTTGCTTAACGTAAAAGAAGGAAAAAAGTTCGCATAAAACTGTCTTCAACCTCTTTAAAATTAAATTCTGGTTAGTGAGGTAGAATTTTCTTAAGTGAAGTTCCAATAATCAAGGTGTAAATATATATTAACTATATTATGAGACCTCATTTCACGGGTTTTTGAAAACCACAGTGAGAACATTAGAGTAGACGTTCTCATACAACTCTAGAGTTAAAACTTAGAAATCAAAGGTAATAGCAAAGATATCAAAGATTTCAAATTTAATGACAAAACAAACAAAAAATTATAAACTAATCACTATTAAAGAGTGAATTCTAGATTCTATTCCATGGGTATGAAGTACATTTTAGTACTTCTTATATTGACTGCATAACAAAACGTTAGCAAAGCTTTGTGGACATGACAGTAGTGCCTCAGACTTACGCGCTTTCGTACCGTAAACGCTTTCGGTATCGTTCACCGTATTAATACAAGAACGCTTCGGAAACGCACAAAAACAGTAGGCGAAAGGCATGGCATTATTCTTTTAGGACATATCTACAAATATATTTGGAAAAACAAGAAAAACACCAAAAAAATCTGAGGGTAACTTAATATGTCAAAATCCAGCTCGTTCGTATTAGCAATGATATGGTCTTTGATACGAAATATGCAAACCAAATAACAAACTGTTCGCATTGGTCTAATACTGCGCGTAAATAAGAGACCACCTATTTCTAGACCTACCGCCCTCAATTCACCGCCCTAGATTATAGGCAAAGTCTTAATTAGAATAAAGCCTTCACAAACCAGATTAATTTTATCATTTGTCTGAGTCCGCGTTCCCAGCAGCAGGGAAAACTGCGACATATATGTCGAGATATCAGCCGCAAATTAATATTTGTTGGATGTAATATTTATAAGTRGAGATATCATGGCTAATTCATGTTGAATTGATCGTGTTAAAACTGTTGATTGTGTGGTCTTATCTAAACCAGTGACAAAATTACATCGATATAATATTAGAATAAAAACAAATATTAATTAACAGTATATTCGCTTTATATTTGKACAATGAACCAACGTCCGAATCCTCACTAAGTTTTATAAAATCTTTTTATGTTGCATTAACATAGAAATTGTCATGAAAAAAGACATTAAAAACTATAATAATTAAATAGTGCTGAATAGCGAAATCCTTTGTTTTCTATTGACTAATCTACACTGTATTGCGCTATTAAACACTGCTAGATTAATTGGATAGTACTTTTTCACGCTTKTTAGTGCCCGTACTCTTCTRYGTCACTTTAATTTCGCTATTTTATCAAAACACAAACTCGGCTCAAACAAGAATAAAATTGCTAGTTTTCTCCTGAATTTCAAAGTATGCTGCAAGTTGTTTGTGTYAAGTCAAGTGCCAATATTCAAGCTTCCTTACAGAGTTCTTACATATACAAGAATCTCAAGTACAAGTACTCACTCCAGAGGTACAGTTTGCTCGCTTGCCGTCCTTTCCCACTAGACTGTCAACACACGTTGTATTCTTATTTGTCAACCCGCTGACAGAACTCAACGTAAACAACACTAACAGAGCTTGTGTTAMGAATTTCGTCTTCCAAACACACGAGAGCTTCGCTTCACCAAGTTTCTGAGCCATGGCAATGCTGCTAGATTATCAGGGCAAGACTGCCACAAATTGTATGTGAACGAGCATTTCAATTGATCATGTTGAAGGTCAGTAACTTAATATCGTCGCTTCCCGCCAGGGCGAGGGAAATGGTGCGGTAAAGAAAAGCCCTTTGAAATCCTGCAAAGCGTTCAGACTCGCCCCGCAAATATGTCATTGGAAAATTCATAGACAAAATGGCCGCTTTTTGGCCATGATTTATGGGGCTTCGTGATTGGAATTATGTCTGATTAACTCAGGATTCAAATACTTTCCAGAAAGACTGGAAACAATCTATTGTTTTTATCTTTAATTTATAAAGAATACTTTACTAAGATAATTGCATTGACTTTCTGTAAAAATTGTTTATGTTTAGAAATCCCGACGTTACAAAGACCCAAATCTTTTCAAAACAGCTCAAGAAATTTGCGTTTCCGCGAGCACGCACGCGAAAATGTTCCACATCAAACCACCATCTGCCAAGGAATCCGCGCTCTACAAATCCCATTTGCTCACTTCCTGATCGCGTCTCAGTCAATTCAAGGCATGGCGTATTTGGCTCCTATAGATGTCTGCAGAATGTCCACATCTTAGTCATCAAACGCCAAGGGCTTTGTTAACAAGGGCTATTATGTTCCTAATTACGTAGGAGGAGCTTAAACCGAAGTACAGGTCTGGAAAGGATCAACAACAAGAGCTGGCTGACTCATTCCTGCAGCGAATGTCTTATTTAACTCGCGTTTTAAGAGAAAATACTTTAAAATGGCATACAATAGAACTTTTTTTACTATGAAGAACTGAAATAAAGTTTGGAAAGTAATCATAAGTTAGTAGTCCACCATGGGGTGACATTTTGACCAAAGTTTTAGGAAGACATTTTTTTTGTCAGTCTTTAGCGCATTTCTGAAGTCACAATTTTTGCATGAACATAAAAAGGTCCAAATTAGTTACATTAATATAAAGTGATAGTAATACAATTTAAGAGATAAGATTTAGGTTAAAAAATGCCTCTATTTTATCACGAGTTAGCCATGAGGGTGAAACTTTTCTTGTACTTTGTCAAAGCTCAGCTAGGCAGCAGGTAGCCAACAACGATCCGTTGGTATGCTTCGTGTAATATCTAATTAAAAAATCCTTTGACCTGCTATCTATTTAATAACCTTCCATTTAGAGGTTATAACATTAATTGATACATAAAAGCAAAGAATCAGAAAGATGAAAGATCTTGATGGGTGATATTTTAACCCTGACTCTCTCACGAGAAAGAACTGATGAGTGTTCACCGTCATGTTAGGTTTCAATCATGGCCTTTTTTGCGTGACCAAATCTACCATACAATTTGTAATATATAGACGTCTTTATTGACTATTTCTTACACACTACTTGTACTGTGTAATGATAATAATGTAAATATTTAAAAATACAGTCAAATTGAAAACCAACGGCACACAAAACTTGGTATATTCCTGAACTATAAGTCTCTCTAAAACTTGCATCTTTGGTCTCATTAGGGTATGAAGAAAATGCTTTAAAATAATTATATATCCGAAAAATATATGAATATGGTACCCAATACTTCATTATGGATTTAATGCAAGGGAATTATGTCATTTTTGCAAATGAAATCAGTATTTATTGGCATGTTTGAGAAAGCAAATGATGTCCTTGTACTTACAGAGTAATGGTTCCTGTATCTCCTCTGTCGTCCCTTTGTCTTGGCAAAGCTAAACTCAGCAATGGCCGAGAGAAATAACAGGCCAATACAACACAGCTTGAGGAACATCTTGTTGATCTAAGGAGTTATAAAAAGACAGAGTATATATACTAACTTAGAATGGTCTTAAACTCATGCTAAAACTGAATGACAGATCTAGGAAGACTAATGATTGTGTTGCAGACGAAAATGGCCGGAAAAAAAGCTCATTCTAAGTTTTTCATTAAGAACGTCTTGCTTGCCTGCGGATGTGTTCAAATCAGAGTCAAGATTTAAAAGTTATAGGATCTTCAATTTTGACTTTGATAATTACTCACAAAGAATAATCAAAACTTATTTTGATAAGCGAAGGATAGGATATAGTAGCAAAGYACAAGGTCTGTAAAATAGGTCCACATGGATGCGTTTTCCTTGCGTTTTTGTGTTTTTATTCACTTTAATGGATTTAATCAACGTCAATATAAACACGACACGAAAACGCATTAGTGTTTACAAGCCCTTAGGCGCAATGGCACAGCAATAGCAAGGACTTTTTGTCTTCTGATAGTTAAAAGAGYGTTCAGACTGAGCTTAATGCGAATCTTCCATATGCTCTCTTGCTGCGCTGGACAGTCGGCGCGGACGTCAAAATACTGGACGTCAAAATATAACCTTGGCAAACGATCCATACGATAATAATTGCTGTATGAGCTCAGTAAATTGTTTTCCTTATGTGTCGCTATTTAATGATCTCTGGCTTGAGTGGACCAAGGTTAAACTACGCGTCGTGGAAAGAGACCATTGGAGTAATATGGATGGCCAGAGCACCGTGTTTTTTCCTACAGCGCTCTCTGCTGAAACTCTGTTAAATTATTGTTGATGATCAAGCTCAATCGACTCGTATTAAACCTGTTTATCGTTTATACTTTTCACAACGCTTAAGCGCGCCCTATGGCTAAATGTAGGTGTTCAAAAGCTCTCAGTAATACTCGAAACAATACTTACTTACTGTCAAAGGTAAGCAGTAGTCACTTCGCTGCAAAAAAGAATCTCTTCTTCTATGTCAAAATTCACGCGCTGGTTTCTCGCCGTCTATTCGAGTACGGTGGTATATATAGTGCTGTTAGGAAAGATAACCATGCATGTTGTTCGATCATGTTACCTTTAAGATTTTAGGATATCATGTTAACACATCACTGATATCGTCCAATCAGTACAAGTATTTGGTCATCGACGAAAGTGTTAAAACACTTCATGCATTGACACCCATCCTTGAGGAAAAAGGAGGGGCGAGCAGGGGAGGCCACAGGGGGAACTAGGAGGACGYAAAATGGTYGCAAATACTTTTCTTAGTAGCTTTTAAAAGCACTTGTCAGCCTAATAGGTTGATAGCATCAAATCTAAGTATAATTTACAAGAGAGCAAGATTCCCCTAGCTAGAGAGGGTGTTGCGGTGGGCGGGGTAGGGTGATGGCATGATYGGGCTCATCTTAKTGCGACGCTTCAGAKTTAGCTTTATATGCAGGAGGGACGAGCAAACKTCTCTACTATTGGGTTCTTTGCAGACGCTGCGCTCTTGTACATCATTGAGGTGTATCATGATTTGATGTATGCAATGCATKTATTATCAGTGGGCATTATACCAGGTTAGTTTGCAATACAAACAAAGATTACAAGAGTTTACTTGAGTGGRTGTCGTAACACATGTTCCTCTACGRCCAGAACGTACCACTTTAAGGTATTTGAACGTTTGAATGTCTGCATGCCTTTTTTAACGAAATTCTGAAGATAGAATTCAGCTCAGACTAGACTGGAAGGAGGGAGGTCACACGGAAGGGGTGAGGGGTGAAGGGTGAAGGGGGGAGGGGGGGTTGAGGAGCCTAATTCATCCCTAGTTTCGTATGCTCTTAATCGGACGTTCAGGTTGTAAGCTACCCATCCACTTTTGCTTAAAATCTTCAATGGCTTCTGCTTGGKMTCTCCAWATCTCKATCGTGATTRCCATTACATCCATATAATCAACCAYGSTCAATTATTTTTCACAAAAAATGTTTTGTGTCTTTGTATTGTCGATCAGTTTTCATATCACGTCTCTGATATAAACTTGTATACATGATAATCAATCAATCAAAGCCAGCATTAAAATCTCTCAAAAACTCGCATATAAATCTGCTCAAACAATGCGCCCGAGGCTCGATCCAAACGTCACTCTAACCAAGTATGCATCTGTGACATCTGAGGTTTGGCGTCTTAAACTAGAGATTCGTTTAGAGTGCACAAATTTGCGTGCATGTAGAATGCAAACACCATGAAACAATTAACTCATAATTGTATTTGGTTATGTGAATTTCGTTATGCTTTAGTCTAACCTTACCTAACTCTCCTAAATGTATTATAATAACGGGAGATATTAGACTGAAATATGCAATGCAACAGTTATCGGCCCTTGTCGGTACAGTAACAGATCGCTWKTCGTATACACATCCTTGATATAGATACGACCACGCCCGCCCTAGTACGTGCAATATCTGATTCCAGACGAAATGATAAACTKTTGTCAGACCTTTTATTGGAACAGTACCAAAATAACAATTAACCTTAACCTTAACCAAGAGTAAATAAGCTTCGATAGGGTGACTGGGATGGGGAACAAATGAGGACTTTAAAAGTTGGGTGTGGCAGGGGGGTTCGGGCCACTTTTTGACAAAGCTGTAGTAAGGGGCTAGACGATGATGAACCCTCTAATGCTCGAAAATATACTCCGCTTACACAGATCTCAATCTACAATTAGTAAACTTTATTTTCAGGGGGTAGGGTCTGGTAGTTAATGTGGGTCAAGGGGGTTGGGCACAACAATTCCAAATATATTGACTGTGGGCGATTTTCATTTGAGCTTAACAAAACAAAATGACTATTTAGCTCTTATTTATGAATGGTGACACTAAAAGCGTGAAAAARTACTAGCCGAATTGTGCTAAATAGCGCAATAACCGTGAAATAGATATTAGAATAATACACCTTAGTACTCTCTAATTGCATTGTTTTCTTTTGTGTCTATTTGGGCTATCACACTTTAATAGTCCAGTTGTTTCAAGAGCTTAAGACCTGATTCTAATTCAGCACTCCTTAGAACTATCTAATTTAATAATTTATACGACTCGGTTATACTGTTTCAAGGCTTAGAAGCACTTCACAATTTTAGTTCACGGGTTTAGACCCACGTGCCTTCTATCTTAATAAGCATCCCATCTTGTTTAAAACTTCAATAATCAATTCATCCAGTACTTACGCAATAAAAGTTTYCTTTGATTCAATTTACTAGTCGGAAATACCTTAGACATTGAGCGCTACGTCGCGGTATTTTTCCCACAGATTTTTTACGCGAGGTCAAGTCGGTCCACGGACATGATCAAAATCGCATCCATCAAACGCTTCGGCTCTGTCATCAGAGGTCTTCTAGGTCTTTGGGATGATAGATATGAGATAAGCGCTTTCCGAGTCTATCGCGTGCCCTTTTGGCGAATTCCTGAGGTATTCTGAAATGATATAGCTAGAGCCTTTTCAAAAACTGTTGTCAAAGGGAACGATTGACAATCACCGATCAAAGATTGCACGCAATACCCATATACAAAAGCTCTCTCTAAAGCAATAGGTTTTTTAATTTATATGAAGAATTTATGTCAAGATATGGCCTTCGTTGGACTACAATAATCTCTTAGAGTAGCTCTTTTTGTGTCTGCAATCATCGTGAAACGATTGACCACCACCGTCGTCTCCAACAACATTTTTTTGAAATCGCTGTATGCGCTACACAAGTTTAAATCAATTTGTTTKAAGTATGAAAGCTCGTTTTTATTTCGTGATGTGATAGAAGAAAGAAGAGGAMAACAAAGAACTGATAAAAAAATAATAACAAAAAAGCGAGCAAAAAGACATCACAATAGAAACAAAGCCAAAACTAATCTTAACTAAAAGGAAAGGAAAACTAAACAAAATAACAACAATTAATAAGCTGGACGTGGTCTTAAATGACCACCAGAGTCATCGCGACAGTAATTTAATAAGCCTACTTTGACCATAAGACCATTTTTTTTAATAATTGAACCTTGCTRGCCATCGATTTAAAAAGTTCGGTTCTATTTGTTGCTTAGGAAGCCCCCGTTACTTCACCAAAAGGAGGCCACCTAATTCGACCGTACATATATATTTTTATTGACTGATTTTTATCTGCACTGTTGATCTCATAGATTACTTTGTGGAGGTCTTAAGGGTCCTTCCCAATTMACACCTGAAACAAGGAGAATTGGAGTTAAGAAGGAAGAAATGCATGATGGCAGAGAAGGATGGAATGGAAAATGAAGGGAAGGGAAGAGAAGGAGGGAGAAGAAAGTCATGAAAGATTTGGARATAGGAGAGAATGAGGTTGGGAGGGGGTAGGGAGAAGAGTAGGGTGATTTAGTGGAAGGAAGGGAGGACAAAAGATATTTGATGAAGAAAAAGTGGAAAGATGAAAAGGAGTGAAGGAAAGGAAAGGGGGACCAGAAGTGGAAGGAAAGAGAGGAGAAAGGAAAAGTGGAATGGAAGGAGGGAGCTAGGAGAAGGAGATTGAAGAGAAACAAGGAACGGAGAAAGGGAGGGTTTTAAGGGAGGAAAGAACGAAGGATGGATGGAAAAGAGGGGAGAAACAACCTTGTGTCCAAATGAAAAGCTAAGGGCCTGTGAAAGAGTTAGTGAGAGGGTTGAAGTAAATAATAGTTTAGAGCAAGGGATTCTAAATTTGAAAGACTTACCAAACAAGTGTGCAAGTAGTAAAAACCTATCTGATCCAAAGAACATGTGTTTTTCATCATTGTGATGTGCAATGATTGTTGGTGCACCAAATGACTAAAATGAATACAAAATGATTTGCCTATAATAAGATCATTGTGGGATGTGTTGAGGGGATTCTGGGTATATACAAACCCCKGCATCAAGAGCTTCCTTTGTGTTTTCTTTCAGCTTCTCTTTTATGTCTTGGTCTGAGATTCGGCTTAAAAGGGCAGTAGTTTGCGTTTCATTGAGACCAGAAGCAAGGCATGCCTAGAAAATTATAAAGACATTCATAAATAGATGATTAAGGGGGAAGAGGGAGGGGGGGCAGATAGGGGTAAGATTGAACAAAATGAATGAACCTCCAATAATATACTGGTAATCAACATTTACCATTTTTAAACTCTCTGGTAGTACAATGTCTTCATCCTGACAAATAAATCAGTATATTTAAATGTTCTTTAAGCGTGGATTTCACTAGTGCATAAGCATAGGCATAACCACAAACTTGAGAGTCATATGCACCAGTGAGAACGCGCGGGCTCAGAATAAGCATAAGCATGAGCACAAGAAAAACGAGGAAGGCTTGATCTTCTTGTGCTTATCTCATGCTTATGCTCAGTGAAAACGGGACTGCATAGGCATAAGCATAGCCTGATACTGAAATAGTACGCTCGTGCGCATGCTCAATGTCTTATGCTTATGTCGAGCCGTTCTCACTGAAGCATATGATTCTCATGCTTGTGCTTATGTCTATGCGCTAGTGAAATCCACGCTTTAAAGTGAAGTATTTCAAAGATACCAAACAATATATTTGTTGTATATTCAAGGATTTTAAAAATCAATGAAAAAATGGATGGATCTGGATGAGAAATGCATAGATAAATCATTAGAAAAGTTGATGGTTGGAAGAATGATGGATACATGAGAAAATGGCTGGRTGAATGATAGAATAGATGAATGGGAAATGCATAATAAATCAATAGATAAGCTGATGGTTGAATGAATTAATGGATACAAGAAAGAATATATCAATGGACCATTAAAATGCATGGTTGGATGTGAATGAGTATAGGAATAAATGGCTGGGTGAA